CAGATTTCTTTACTTTTTTTTTATCTTGCTAATGTTAACATTCATACTTTCAACTTCAGATGAAGACTCCTCAGACTCGGATTCATTATTGGAGGAATCAGATCCAGAATCGCTACCAGAAGAATTGTTAGTATCTGAGCTTGAATCCAGAGTAATCTTATTAATATTACCTTTCTTTTTGGACCTACTTTTCTTTTTATTTCTCAGACACTTGCGAGAATTATGTCTAGTCCTATTATAGTTTGAGCAATGGTGTTGTGACTTCGTAGCTTTTTTAACAGCTCTAGCTACGTGCAACTTCAACTGCTTCTTTGTAAGATTGGCCAATTCATCATTAGAGTCAACTTCATCATTTTTTAAAACATTTTCATCATTTTTTTTAGGCAAGAAAGAAGAAAATTTATCAACTACTCCTTTAGTAATTGTATCTATTAAAGATTGTAAAGTAGATGAACCTGCTAAAGCACTAAAACGATCTGTCGCACTATCCATTCGAAGCCATTCTTGATCATTCAAGCATAGGTTTGGGTCCCTATATATTTCACCTGGTTCCATTTGACTAAGACGTTTCAACTTGTTACCTAGTGCAGATTGAGTAGATACCATTGTATTTCTTACCAACACTTCGATTTCAGTTTTAGTCATCACCAATTTGTTAGTATCTAGATTATAGGTTTTTCTTGTTGTACCAAATCTGAATTTGAATGCAGATAAGCTTCAGATAATTGCTCGGCCTTATATCTTTCAATCTTTTCAAGTTCTGTGAGCAATTCAGAAACGGGCCTGTTAATTCTAATGCGTTGAATTTCTAATTGATTATCAGGAGAGATGTCACGAAGAAATTGTAATCGAATTTGTTATTCATCAATGCCAGCAAGTCTAGCCAATTTACACAATTTTGAATAGAAACGACCAACGGGATCACTACCCTGAACTGCTGATCCAAAGATTATTCTTTGTTTCTCTGCAGTAACGGTTGAGTAGTTAGTCTTGAGCCAGTATATTATCTGACCAAGTCGAACCCCATCTGCCACCACAGATTGACCAACATTGGCATTTGGTAGATTTATTACGCGATCAGTTGAACGACCATCGGCAAAAGACCAGTCCTCATCAAATACTGTATGGGTTGAAATAACAATATTTTTAGCCTGGCCCACAGCACTATGTCTTAAATTTGCACCAAGTTGTACTGCTGTTCGTCTTTGAACCAGAGCTAAAGTGGCCTACCCAGTGTTATCCAGTAAATTTCTCAGTCCCCAATTTTTTCTTCGAAGAGACCTTTTATACCAATTTTTAGCATCACCTTTAAGGCATGTTTCAAAAAGTTCATGTGCACGAACTCTATTGGCATGCCCACCAGCTACATCAATTTTAGCAGTCACAAGATATGAACGAAAAGAATCAATAAACTCCTCTGGATCTTTATCGGAATATCTGTGGTAAGTTGGGGGTGCATATCCTGCCATATCTCTTCTATTGTTATTTATAGGTGGTTATTCTGTAGCACAAAAATTTGTTGATTTAAATTATTAATTAATTGTTCAGAATTTTGGGCTCGGGCTTTCCACTTACCCCACTTGAGATCGAGCTGAACATTAGCAAGTAATAGGTCATTTTTTAAAGTCTTGTATTTTCTCTTCTATTTGATATATCAATTTTTTGTAAGATTTAAGAGATGTGTGATTGTCGCTCCATCAGCTTCACAATTTTGTAATTGCTTTTGAGTTCGTCTATTCAAAAGACGCAGTGTAAATTTTTCTGCTAACAACTCTGATATTTGTCTTTTTTGCATATGGATTGTAATTCAACCATCAAGTTCTCGGGATTTAAATATACTATGTTGCATTCTGTGAGCCTCATAAGCCTGATGAAGATAATTATAGTCATTTTGAAGTGTGCCTAACTGGGTTTGTGAATTAGCTAACTGGGTTTGCAAATTTGTTAGCTGGGTTTGCAAATCTGCTACTCGGTTTTCAGCATTAATTGCACGAGCATTTGCCCGTGGGTATATTTCTAGTACCAATCGTTCAAGCCTATTACCAGCATCAGAGAATATGTTAAGATAATTTACAATATCATTTAATGTAGGTGTTATTGTAGTTGGGCTTTGAAAATACCGTCTAATATTATCAACCTCTCGCTGAATTCTATGATTCTGAATCATAGCTTGATTTTCAGATAAAGATAATCTGGGCGATTCTGGTTGTTGAGCCATATTGCAAAGCAATGATTCTTCGAATCTATCTATATTATCATTGCCATTTTTATATAAAATAAGTATTTTTATTTTTTCATTAAGCTTGTCTATTTCATCTTGAAAATTTACTAACTGTTTTTCTAAAAAATCTATATAATTCTCTTGGCTTTTAGAATCTTGAAGTGCTTTTTCTAACCGTTCTTTGAGATTAGAAATTTCTTGTCACAATAGATCCAAATCCCCATCTCGAATCAAAATTTCTTTTTCAGGATATTTAATATAATCTTCTTTTAAGGCTAGATCCTGCTATAATTTACAAAATCGATTTTTTATTATCTGCAAACTAGCTTCGAATTTTTTGATTGTTTCACTAGGTGGAGACACTATTGTATCTAATGGCATTGTACAAGCCTATAATATATCGATACTTCTGGAAACTTTGTCAAATAATAATTTATTGATATAGTAAAATGCATTAAAAATGAACCAACCTAGTATTACTATAGATCCTGATGAGGAAGTAGATCTTGTTTTGCTGGTTATTATTCTATCAATCAACAGGGTATCATTCCAACTCCCAAAAATTATAGAAAGATCTTAAAGCAGAGGGATATCAATTTCTATATAAAAAAGTATATGAGTAGCTTACAAACCAGAATGAATAGCAAAAACATGCCCCACCACCAAAAGATACTCCACGAGTTAGTTATAGTAAAATCACTCGTCCGAATTGTGTACATCAGTGCGATCTCTTATTTCTTACGCATGATCATTATAAAGGTAAAAAATGGATAGCAGTGCTTAATATAATAGATGTGGGTAGCCGGTTTAAAGCTTCAGTCCCACTTACATCAAAAAAATTTAGTGAGGTTGCCAAAGCATTCAGGAAAATTTATAATAACCCTAATAACTCCCTTATCTATTCTCAATTGTTACAATGTGATAGTGGGACGGAATTCAAAAAATTGGTAAGCCAGCTAATAGAAGCGCATAATGTCACAATCTGAGTAATTGGTGCTTATAGTCATCGTGGATTAGCTTTTGTAGAACGATTAAATAAGATGTTAGCAGAGATGCTTTATAAAATTCAGTATGCTGTCGAATCAATATCCAAAAATCCTAAATTAATAAGAGAGTGGGTCAAGTATTTACCAGAAGTAATAGATTATCTTAATAATTATCCGACACGTCTTATTCGAGCTCCAGGTTCATCAAAATAGAGTTTAGCTCCAGCAAAAGCTATCAAACTGGAACGAGTAGAATCTAGACCATCTACAAAGTATAAGCGTTCTGTTGGAAAGGATAAGAAAAATAAGTTAAAAAAGGGTGATAGTGTTCGCTATCTGCTTGCTAATGCAGAATAGGAAGATGGTATAGAGAATCAGAAAAGAGCCACGAATCTGACATTTTTACCTTCTTTGTATAAAATTCGAAAAATTGTTGTAACAAAGAATGAGCTAATTTTATATTATCTCAGAGATGATGACGATAAATATCCTCCAAAGTGGGGGTTTGTACGTGAAGAGCTCATGCACATAGATCTAGAAAAACTTTAGTATCCACCCCAGAGTATATTGGAAGAAAATACTCACTCCAAATTTATTAATTTCATCCGTGTAGTTAATAAAATGGCTAAAGCCGTTGCATATGCCGAAAAGTGTGGTGGAAAATGTCTTGGTAAAACTGATCATATAAATAGCCTAAACGTATATCTTTGGTCATGTAAAAATGGAAAGCATCAGTAGTATGCACCTTATAAGACCCAGAAGCGTAAATTTGAATGGTGCCCCCTATGTCCTCATTTTAAAAGGGAGCGATCTGCGAAATATATTTTCGAAGATCTGCTTGGTAAAAAATTTCCATCATATAAACTGTCATTTTTGAATGGGATGCAATTAGACGGGCACAATGAAGAATTAAAATTGGCATGGGAATTTAACGGGGTTCAACATTATTCTTAGAATTCAATGTTTCATAAACGAGAAGAAATAGATTTAGATTCACAGAGGAAGCGTGATCAAAAAAAGCGGGATATATGCAAAGAGCGAGGTATAGATCTTATTTGTATCCCATTTGATTGTGATTTATTTCCCTATATAAAAAGCAAATTACAAGAGAGAGGTTATTTATCGTATAAAGAATAAACTCATAAGATCATTATTTTTCGATATAGATACTTTATATCTGCAAAGCAATAATTTAGCATTAATTACCTTGATCAATATGAAAATAGAGAAGCTAGACCCTGTTGAAAGAATAGTTTTAAACATCGATGAATATAATAATCCGGAAAGGTTTAACTCATTAAATAGTACACCCCAATGGCCTTTTAACTTATTAATTAGTGGGCGAACAAGATCAGGAAAAACTAATAAAGTTATCAACCTTTTACTTGGGAACAAGATGTATCGTTTGTTTAATGAAAAAAAAGGTGGAACAAGATACATTAAAAATGATGATTTGGTTTTGATCAGACATCATATTAATGAGCCGAAATACAAATATCTGAAACATTATTATAAAATAATTGCAAATAGTCCTAAACCATATCGTGAAGCTATTACGTTCCGAGCAATGAAGCCTGATAAAATGCCAAAAATTAATGATTTCTCTTCTAAAAGAGGAACAGTAGTTGTATTCGAAGATTTATATACTGAGCCTAAAAAAATACAAGATAGAATTGCTCCGTATTTTAGTGAAGGACGCTATGCTAATATCAGTTCAATATATATAACACAAAGCTTTTTTGACTATCCCAAACTAATAAGAAAAAATCTCGATTATATTGTTCTCTTCAATGGTAGTGATACCTATGATGAGCTAGTTAACATTGCCCGACAATATACAAAAAAATGGCGCAATATTGTTGATATACTTGATAAAAATTTACAAGGTCGAGAATTTATTGTTATTGATTTAACTAGAGCAAAAGAGGACCCTCTATATCTTCGTAAAGGTTGAGACCAAGTCCTGAAATTAGATAAATAGAGTATAAGTTATTAATACATGTCATGCCTTTTTCATACCAAAAGTTATCAGTTTGAGGTCATACTTAAAAACATGTTTCATATCATATCCAGGACGGATATTGCTAAGTTTAGGTACTCTTTTATTATAAATATCATCTATTATTATTTTAACCATATCACCAGGCATATTTAGTAAATTATATTATTTTTGTCGATTTATAGTAATTTATAGCGATTTGTAGCAGTTTGTAACAAGTATACTATAATAAATATTGAATTCATTTTTATTCGATTATAGGAATATCAGGAATTTATATAAGGTCAGTAAAAAACCAAGTTATGCATTTTTAGTGGTCATCATTAAATCTTGTATTTTGCCAGTAAACCTTTTTTCATGGGCTCAAGGTCTTAAATAAATCGATATATATATAAATATTGGGTTTGAAAAATGATTAAAAATAATTTATAATATAGCAATTATGCTTACTGAGATAGCTTCGTCTTGAATTTTTAACCTTTCATGATCGTGAGCCCGACTTTGAGGTTTTGGATCATTTTTTATTCTGCTTAGTGCATTTTTTTGATGCCCCGAGTTTATTATTATTCATGTGAACGTTAATTTTGCTATCTGAATTATCCGGATCTGTATTGCAAAATAAAGTTTCGAATTTTCTATTTTATTTGATTGACGTTGCATAAATAAAAAAAACAACACTATGATGGATGCCTGCAATAACAGGAAGATTACCGTAGACTAAAATGTTCGATCTAAAAGCAATAGCCTGACCCTCTCTTGCATGTATTATTAACTTTAACTCGGGAAACATCAATTGCCCACCTTTGAATATTCCAAGTGGGCACACCACACAAAGCATATTTCAGTGGTTTTTTAAATTATGATGAAATTGACTAATAATATTGAAGTTGATCGTGATTGTTGAAAAAGTACTGAAAGACTTAGGAACATTTGGGCCAAGATCGAGCTTTGCCATTTTTGTATAAAGAGCCAGATAAGTTTCCTGTAAATAACTATTAACCGCATTAGATAGTGGTTGAAGCCCACTAATCAGCTCTCGAACATATTTTTGATGTTCTGAGCAATGGTTTGATGCTGTGTTTGCAGTTGTATAGGGCTTATTGTTATTGCCTGTGAAGGCTCCAAAATGCTCCACCAACTCCTTCTTAAATTCTTTAGATTTATGCAATTTATTATCTTTATTAAGGTTATAGCTATAATATTTATCTACAACCGCTATTGTATCTTCTTCACCTGTAGGTTTAACTAGATCGAAAAAGTCCACTACTACCTTGTCGAAAGAATTCCTAAAACACTGTAGATTGAAAACATGGTAGTAGCTCTCGAATTCCTCACCTGTAGCCACATCCCTTGTAGTTTTTTCTGCTATATTGAGTTTATAATTTGAGGGTCGCTCAAATGCTTCTGAGATATTGTACACTTTCTGCATTTTTTTCTGGGCTTCTCAATGTGCATGGTTTACTTTTGACCAAAGACGATGACAGTGATGATGGAAGCATTTATTAAAATCCGGAATCTTTAGAAAATATGCCCACAACCCAAACTCTTTCCAAACCGCTGATGATAAATTTAAAGAACTGTTATTACTAAAGATTTCAGACTCTAGTAAAGCCATGTATTGAGTTGGTATTTCAAAATCATTAGTAGGTATTGGTTGAATTGTTTGGGGGGCAAAGAGTTAGTTATATTGGTATTTGGACCCATTGCATCTATTACTAATAAATCATTTTACGATAGTCTTCGCTGTTCTTTTTTTTCTAAGAACTTTTTGATAAAAGTAAATTCTGGATCAGACAATGTATAAGGTTGTGAAACTTTGGTCGATTTAAGATCTTCAGAGAAAAAGTCTTCTGATATCCATCAAGTTCGAATATATTTATGAGTTTCACTTTTTGTAGAACAACGGGTCTCTGATTGAGTTTTGTACTGGTGAATATATATTCAAAAAATTAATAAATAGTATTCCGTATAACTTCTTATGAAGTTGGATAATAAAATTTTGAGGTGGATACATTTGATCTATTTTTCATCTCATAGCTCAGCGTTAAACAGGAAGCTCATTCGGTCTTCCTCTCCTCGCTAATAAGACAATCGTGATTTAATGATCGCGCCCTCAATAACAATAGAACTAGGGAGAGAATACTTAGATCTTAGGCCTGCCTTGAAAGGTAAAAAGTACCCCTAAGAAGACTATACTATAAATAATAGGGGTTTACTTGTATCAAAATTAATTAACTTACTTTCAGAGGATTGTAGAAAATATTATCTCTTTCATCGGCCAGGTTAATATTGGATGTGGAATTAGTATTATCTTCAATGACAAAAATATCAAGGTTTTCAAATTTGGCTTTTTTTATAGCACGAAGGTCTTTTTTACGTAGATTTCTTTTAGAGGCCTTCGATAATGCGACAGATTTATTTTGGGACGACATAGTGCTTATACAGCAGGTAAGTAATTTTTTAAAGAAATTTTTTAAATATTTTAAGAAAAAAAAAGCAAAATTGGAATGGAACTTCATATTAAAGGAGGCCCTATTTATTGGCTCTATTCATTAGAGATTGCAATTTATTTTTATGCATTTCAATACATAGCAATTTGCCACGAAGCAATATGTAATATAAATGACTCGGCATTGCAATAATTTAAGTCAACTAATATTTTTACATAGCACGATAATAATTAAATCGTTTACTAAATTAGGCACCACAATTATTGGATATGGCAAATCAACAATCGCACATTTCTATATTCGGATTAGATTATTAATAACTTGTTGAAAGACGTATTTAGGCACGCTATTGCTATATTTAAGCCGGATCTACAAATTTAGAATAACCGTTACTTATACATTATTACAAAGTGCAGAAGTGTAATGCTTTTTATCACATGATTTATTCTCTACGATAAAGAATACATATTTCGGATGTAATGTTAAATCAGGTTAATAATCATTATTTTCATTTGAGATCACCCAATCCGAGATAAGCAAATCCGAGATGTGCGTAGATACCCTATATCTAGATCCATACTTATAGACTATGTTGTTATTATATTAACTCATAATTAAGATGCAATAGGTGCAATGAAGGTACGATGAAGGTACGATGAAGGTGCGTTGAAGGTATGATGATTTTTTTTTTCTTATAAAAACGTATGGAAATATCATATCGTAAGTGTATCTTAGTTGGGTATCCGTCGAAATTAAATTTTTGTGATGTAGACCGATGATCAATTACGCTTATTGATTGATGAAAGAAAAAATCGAAATGCGGATTATTATAACATTTCCGGTAGTAGTAGGGTAGACTTTTGGAATAGTATAGCAAACACAATCAACGAACGATTTGGGACCACCTATACAGGACACCAATGTAATAATAGATTTTAGAATCTTGTTAGAGATTACAATGTAGGCGTTAAACTCTATATACTATTTTAACTATAACATTCTATATGATAGTATTTCAAATATACTTTTATATTGGCTGTGTTGCCTTGCTAAAACTTTTTTAGTCGATGTGTTTATATATAGCTGAGAGCAAAACCAGAAAGAGGAGCAGAGCAGGTGAACGATATTTTGAAGAATTTAATTCTCATTTTTGGGAGAGACCTGGTAAGTTCACCTATGATACAATCTATCACCGTAGTAGTAAATATATAGATAACTCATGAAATTGCCTTGTATATGAGAATATAGAAACTCTATTCGACATATTGCATAATGCAAACACATCCACCAGAAGACGTCGCCGTAACCGTACCCCACCACTAACTTACGAAGTGCCATCAATTCTAAGTACTAGTTGCCATGAATCCACCACCAATCAAAGGAATCGATCCGCATCACCTATCCGGAGAGTTCCTAGTAGAAGGGATGATAATAGTAATCGAGATAATGTAAATAGTGCCATTGGACATAGCTTAGCTAATGTAAATGATGTGTGTGGAGATTCGGGTAATAACATAAATAATACAAGTGGAAATTTAAGTAATGTGACTTACTCATCTTCATCTGAGTTGATAAATATTACCTCGGCCCTTAATTTATCTGCATCACAAAATGACAGCGATTTAAATATACCCGATATAGGGGGGGCCACTGGAATCTATAAATAAGGAAAGTTAAATTCACGGCTGTTAAATCAAATTAAAATAAATCAAAAAAATTCGTCAGAAAATAAAGCATTTATTATGTCATACGATCACATGACTTAACAGTCCCATGGGTCTGCACATAAATTCTGTATCCCTGTGTTTAATATTTTATATTTTTATAATACTGTAATAACGATTATCAGTTCGACCGGCTTTAATAATCAATGATCTGCATTAAATTTTATGCGGTATCACTCTCCTGCAGAATCATTTCTCATAGTCGATTTTTTATTAACGAATATTATGAATAATGACTAGACCCTTTTCCTTACTTTATACAATTTTGTGATAAGAATGAGACTCTGTGAAGCAGGACACTTCGTGTCTAAAAAGGCTATAAGGGTAATACGTATAATGTTCTTAATCAGTAGTTTTGTCAAAATTCATATGTTACAGGGATTTGAAATTTCACAGTTCGTCAAGATCGTTGACTTTTTTACTTCGCAGAAGAGATCGTCAAATCTAAGGGGTTAATTTTACCAGAAAAAACAATAAAATAGATCTGGTGTTAGAAGTTATTACTGAGCGGAGTTTCTTTGTTAAGTGTGATCTGACATTGTGTTAGAGTAACGTAATTACTAATCATATAATTTTTTTTATAGCAAGTTTTTTTAGATCTAGTGAATGGACGATATAAAATAGCATGTTTCCACCCGTAAGTTAAGTTAGCAATAACGTTATTTTGCTTATATATTTTTTACTTGATTTACTTGCCAAATTTTTTAAGTAATTTGCTACATATTAGCTGATATAATTTCATTTAACAAAGACTATAAAGATGATTTTTTACTTACTATGTTTTTTGTATTTAGGAATGAAAAATGAGCACTAACAATAACACCATCTCCAAGACTAACGAACCCACAAACCCAACCCTAAGACTAATGAATATATTTATCTTAATTGTCTCATCACACTCTGCTTACTGTATCATTTTTTTAAAATCAAAGTTTCTAATGGGAGTGATGTTGAATCATTAAAAACTCAAGTTCAAGCCTGTTTGTCTCTATTACCATCTAGTGCAATTAGCACACCTCGCCGGTTTCTTATATTTCGCCCCCAAGGAGGATATGTGAATATGCATCCTCATACTAATCTTTATATTCTTTTTAGTAATAATCCTAATCAAAATATTATTCATGTACTTGTAGAACAATTACCAGGATCAGAAATACAAATTATTTAGATTTTTTTTTATTTGTATTCGTACTTATAATAGCGATATATATTTTTTATGTGTATATTGTCATTCCGGCAAAAAAATATTAAATAAAGAAGAGGTCCGCTGGGCTCCTAATCATCTTTTATTTTTACGTGATCGTGAAAATAAGTATTGGTCACTATTTATACTGTTATTTCGATGTTTAGATGCAAAAGCATCCTCTTTTCAAGAGACGAATATCTAACTTATGTTACGCTGAAATAAAAATTTTATTATTTGTGCTTGAATGGGTATGATATCCGTTGTCACAGTGGCACAATAAGACAACTCTATTTTATTGGTTAAGGTATGACATCAATGTCACAGTCAATTGCATAAATTATACGGCCTGGGATAAATTTAAAATCGTTGTATATCTGAAAATTAGGAACTGGATTATGTATATATCCTAGGCGGTTACTGGTAAGATAATAGGACTCATCATTGGTGAGCTTTTTCTTTCGTATCTTCTGTCACGATAATAATAGCCTCTATCGCATCCACCATATTCATCATATCTATCGTACCCATTATATCCGTCATCATCCGATTCATCTAGCCTCTCTTCTTCAGAATCATTGTCGTGGCTACAATCACTATCATCGACTATCTGAACTTCATTAGTCCCTTTCTCTGACTGAAGTGTGGGATTATCAAAATACGCCTCATCATCATAATATACCTCATCATAGTCATCATGATTCTCTACCTCAGCTGGAGTGATTTGAGGCGTGAATGATGAATTACCTAAAGAATTAGAGCCATGTGTAATAGGAATAGGTGTGATTAATTCGCTTACCTTAGCTGAATTTTGGCAGGAACCCCAGCTGAAATTTCAGGAGTTGGTGACTCGTCTACTTGCTTGGGAAAACTATCTATAATTTCTTTAATTTTGTCATTAGTTAACTCTGAAATAGAATTCGCACTATAAGTTGTGATATATTTAATTTTATCTATACCTAAATTTTCAAATAATTTGTATATTTTTACGGCTTTCTGAGTTTTCCCTTGCAAGTATTTACGTGTGATTTCTGGGAGTTGTAAACTTGTTTCTTCAGATCTCTTTTTACGGAGAATAGAAAGATTCTCTAACATTTTATTATAGATAATTCCTTTCACTTTTTTCTCACCAATTTTGTTACCTTTGGTAACTTCGTTAACTTGAGTTATAAATTTTTTTCCATAGTAGCACCAGCACAATATTTCTTCCTGATTCACATGAATTGCACCATATTCAGCATCAGTCGCTTTATCGAATAATTGAGCTAAAGTAAGCAGTGGTACTGTAGAAGAAATTTGGCTTTGTTGTGATAATATATCATTAGAAGAACTAAGAATACATTTTTGAGACTATGCATCATTTTGAATACCATCAGATATCATCTAAGAAATATTTTTCGCACCTTTTTTCCTATTACTATTTTTCAGCAGGGGCGCCCCAGCCAAAATTTCAGTCACGGGATTTGATACCTCCAGTATCTTTTCAGAAGTAGAGCACTCAGTATCAGATTCTTGATCTTGGTTAAGAGATGCTTGCTTTGCTTTGCTAAGTTTCTTCTCCTTATTGCGTTTCCTTATCCCATCACTAACGCTTTTCTTATGTGCCTTGTCCAAGAATTTATCCATTTCTTTTTCCTCTGGTGATTTAGAGTTGGCAGGTACCATTATCACCTCCGGTACTGCACCATTTGCTCCACTGAGCTTGACAGCTAACACGGATATCTCCTCTGGTATCGGTTCTTTGGGTAATGAAGTATTTATTTCCTTATCATAATGCGTTACCATAGGTAACTGATCTGTAATCGAATTGAAGTTAGATGAACTGTTATTAGGAGAATTGGTTACCTTAGTAACGTTATCATTTTGCAACTGCCTCTGTTCCACTTTCATGATTCTATCTCTAAACTCATCATTCTCAGATTCCAACTCCTCGATTCTTGCCTTGAGTTTGGCATTCTCAGCATCACGCATCTTATTCTCTTCCACAGACTGTCTTAGAAGCCCGGCAATCCTGGCCTTAAGTTCAGTTCTCTCAGCCTCAAGTTCAGCGATCTTATCACTAAAAGCAACGATCTCAGCATTCTTATCCTTAAGCTTGTCATTCTCGACCTTAATTTCAGCAAACTTCTTCCTAAGCTCAGTAATCTCAACTAAGAGCTTGGCATTTAATTCTCTTAATGAATCGTTAGATTGAGCGTTTGACATGTTTGATAAATTATATACAAGAACAGAAATATTCAGAAGCTCGTTAATATACTGTATATAGAAACAGTTAAGTAAAAAATTGAGCTATGTCGGCTGATCGTGACAAATTTATCCTGGTTTTTTTACCAAGAAAAAATTTTATTAATTTTTGCCTATCTGCTATCGCTATGAAATTTGTCACATTTAAAAAATACATGATAAGAATATACTAATGCTAATAAATTGCATACTAGCTATTATAAGATTAAAAAATAATAAGCGCAACGGTTCTCTTATTTGTTATTAGCCTTAATAATATTCAAGATCGTCATTGTCCTTCTCATTTATTACATGAAATAAATACTAGCTACTATTTTTTCATCTCTTCAATTGCAGTTAATACTTGAGATTTTTGAGATTTGCTCTTTGGTGTCCACCATGGTTTATGGATGAACACTGATTTGTATGAATTGTGTCGTAATGATCTAACGCCATCAACTTTGAAAATATCTTCAAGTAAGTTCCGACTATGGTTTAACTCAGCAAGTATTTCGTTGACTTCTTTATACATTTCCTGTATAAATTATTAAATATTACGTCATTTTCTTTGATGTCAAAATAGTAAAAAAAATCATATGGGGATGGTTGGTTATGCGCATTTCAATCAACCAACTTATAGTGCTTACCATTATATGCTTAAAAGATATTATCACCGATTTTAATTTTCTAATGTGATTCAATCTTGTTGGTATCTCAAATATTGGTCCCGGATAAACGACATAGAAACCATTTACCAAGTCTTCTACCAATAGTTGTCCAAAGACACCTGCAATTTGTAAATATGGAACCTTGATAATACCCGTTTGTGCGTCAGTTAAATCTCTGCTCAACAGGCCATTTAAGATGGATTGGTTTATCCTAGCTGAGCGACAACGATCTTCGATTGCTTTAGTTGGAGTTGCTTGAGCGGAAAACTCCCATTCACCAAGATCTATTCCCGTATGACTTAAAAATCGGACATCACATTTCCTACCTCTTTCATAATTAGCGGACTGGCTTAAAGGACAAAAAGACTCTCCCCTTATGAACAAAAATATTACGCTTGCAAAGATCAAAAAGATATTATTTATTTACCATTTACAATGTATTTCAGTTCCATTCTGCAGTCCATTGACAATGTAAGAACATGTTTTTACAATAACATCAATTTCGGTGTGATGCTCACCGCCACAATATAAAAGATCATTTCCATCTTTAACATTGTAGAGACTACATGTGCAATTAAAAAAGATAATAATGACAAGTACAGACGATAAAATGAATATAAGAAAATACTCACAAATCACCATATATTTTACTTATTTTGTAAAAACACGTATTGACTGATGCATCTGCATGCTGATTAAGACAATATTTATATGCCCCATTAGCATCGCCTTCCTTTATCATCTATGTACCAGTAAAAAAATAAATTTAAATGTGTAAGATAAGATTAAATACATTCATATTGTATACTTACTTTTTCCACCTTTGCAATGAACTCATTAATGTCTTTTGTCAATTCGGGAACTTTGAGAATTTCTTCATGATCTTTCATCATATCCTGACGTTCAGTTTCAGTAAACCATACTCGCATATGAGCTGAAAGATCAATAACTCTTGATACTCCATATCTTAAAGTTGCTTTCTCTTCTGCAGTCAGCTTCTTTTTATTTTTTAACATTTCAGTATGTTGAGATAAATTTTTAGCAAAAATGTCGTTAACAAGTTTTCCCGAGGACAAATTCCAATTCTGTATATTAGTTGGCAGGGAAGAACAAAGAACATTATCCAAGGTAGGAATATCTTCGTCATTATCATTTTCTACCATTAATGGATTATCATCCTCATCGTCATATAACGAAATGAAATCTGGTGCTGGTGGTGGTTCTTGTAGTATTGTACCATTGGGAAGGATGTTGGGAAAGATATTTCCAGAATTACTCTTCTCCTAATCACAAAGGTTAGAATAAGTGTCTCACTATGATGATAATTACTGGTCATTATGGACTTACTTTTGAGCGAATCCAGCTTTCTGGTGGACTTGCATGCTTGATAGTAAATTTTCAGAAGATAATGATAAAGGCAAATGAATAATTTGAGGAGAAAAGCGGAATGACAACTAAAATTAAGTTATGTCCCAACCTTATTTGGGGGAGTTGACGGAGTTGACAGAGTTGATTCCTCATTTGGATATTTTCGCTTACTTCCAGTTATTGGTTTATCCTTCTGATTCTCGTTCAAGACAGTATTGGCCTTATTTCCTGGTGTTGTAAGAGAAGTATTGGGTGGTGGTGTTGTGAGAAAAGTATCGAGTGGTGGTGTTTTGAAAGAAGTATCGGATGGTGGTATTGTAAGAACACTAGGAGAGTCAAGGGCCAACATATAATCTAATTTTGCCTTGTCTGCGATCACATGAGCTTCATTCCCTGACACATAACGATCAACAATAAACTGGGTCTGCCAACAAAAGGTCGCATGGTTATTGTGAAGATTGAAACTTAGTATATATGTGTCGAACATACCTTGGCTTGCTCCAACTTCTTTTTCAACAAACGTTCATCTAAGTCAACTTTTTCGTTTTCAACAATATTCCAGAATAATTTAACTTCCTCCCACTGCGTTTGGCGCTTGAGAAAATAAAATGATTGAGTTTAGAAACAAAAAAAATGAGGCTTCAGGAGCTGACAGATTATTAGGGACTGCAAACGAACAACGTTCTTGATAAAGAGACCGCGTCTCTAGTCTTCATGCAGACTTAAAATGGAACCCACCGGGGAGCCCCCATAACTAGCCTGACCGCGTCTGACCGCTTAGGTGGTTGTTTCGACATCGTCCAATTCCATCTCTATCCAGACCTTTCTCTTTAATACAGAATTTTGAAGCACTTACTTTAATCATTTCATTTTCTTTGAGAGCTGAAGCGACTTCTTTCCATTTTTTATCAGTTGCTGTTTCCGCAATGTACAATACAAACTTAAATATTTCAGCATGCTCAACACTCTTCTTGTACGTGAAGTCATCTTTCATACGACGGAATTTGAGGATCGAAACAAGGTTAAATTGATCAGGGCTCAAAGCAAATTCCCATCCTTCAAACTGAAGTGATAAATTTTGAATCTTAAGACGAGAAAAAGGAATAGAAATTAAAAACTAAGGCGACTATAGTATGACCATGTATCACGTTATTGTTGAAAAGTTCACCTTTTTTTCGAGCATTACAGTAATGTTTTTTTGGCGAAAATATTGGATAAATGTTAAAATGTTGAGTGTAAAGGTATCTATAAATCAGACGCGTGCCTAGCTTATGATCACGCGCTATAAATAGGATCTACAACTGAGTTGCAAAAGTCACGTTTTGCTTCTCGATAATTGTCAAGCCTCCAAAAATTTGATGCAAATGCCTGAAGTGGACGAAACTTTATTAATGATTAGAAAGCGAATGAAATGTATGAAGGGAGGGGATACACGGATTCCATATGAGTCCCAGTATTAATTTATTTCGTAGTTTCATGAATTAGGCAGGAGACCCCAAAAGTGCGGGTCTCTTGATAAGAGCTACAACCACTGCATAATTTTCTAGAAAATGGTTGAATCGTCTAGCTCCTACATATAGCTTTATTATTGTAAAAATTTCTTAAACCGAATTATATAACAAAGCAATATACTACTGGCTATTAATATGGGGCGATTTATTGTTATTTAACATTAATTATTCGAGAATTTTCACATTCACATCGCTTATATATTCCATCCGCTACTTTTTTACAGGTCTTACAATATAGGTGTGAATGATGATTACATTCGTCACAAACCTTACACCTGTGCTTCCAGCCTCTAAAGATGTGCCACTTTTCGATATAATTTCGGCTTTTTTTATTTGTATATGTATTGTTATGATTTTTTATCATTGTTGTATT